CTTTATTTTGTTAGGGCTTAATATTCAGAGTGAAATCTAATGATTTGATATAATTACTCTTTGTATATGTTTTAATTCTTGTTTTTACTTTGATCTCTTTAGTTTTAGAATAGCCGTATATTTTATTTTTCCTATTTGATTGATCTTTTGGTTTAATTTTAAAACATTAATTATCCCTTGCCATGACATAGCCCATGTATGCTGATAAAGCAGTTACTCACTATTGATCAATCAAAAGTCCTTTAAAACTTTGAAGTTATTTCATTTTTATTGTTTTTTATATGACATTATGGTAGAATGTTTACAATTAGCAACATCAAAACTGCTGTAGAAATGATGGCCCTTGAAAAGTATGAAACGGACAAAATGGCTTTAAGTGGTAAGGCTGTTTTCATTTTTCGATTTGAATACAACAATTATTTTTGTATAAAAGTGACACCTAACATCCACGCATTCCAACATCAATCCGAATTCCGATAGCAAAAAATCTTATTCGGAAGACTCCATATACATACTATTATCATTTTATTGTAATTATATTACAAAATAATGATCACATTATGCTAGTATTACTAGACTTGCAATTACTTTACATCAATCCAAAATTGTCCAAAATATTTTGTTAAAGTAATTTACCTTATAAATGGGATAACCTGTCTTCTGGTTTGGATACATAGGATTCTGTTTCAAAAGCTTAACAATCAGATCTAAAGTTTTGAAAGTCTTTCTCTGGATTAATGTCTCATACAAACGAAATTGTAAAATACTGATATTTTCTGTTCACCTAAGCCAAAATTATCAAGTCAGCTAATAGCTTCAAGCAGCTCTCATCCTTAATGCAACTATATTTAATTTGTCTTGATAGAAACATATCATTTTGGTTTCTTGATGTTTGAAGGAATCATTGAGCTCGTAAACATTTTTGTAATTATTTTGAAAAAAAAATAATAAAATACGCAGTAAAGTCCTTCTGATAACCAGTAAATATAATTTTGTTACTTAATCGTAAGGAAATCTCATGAAAATTAACTTGTTGTAGTGTAGATAAAAATTTTAAATAGTATGTGTTTAATTGCCCCGTAGAAAGACCTTTTCTGCGAAATATGAACTACGTCAAACAAACAAGAGCAAAATAACAAACGTAATCATAAAATCTATCCTCCAACTTTTTGTATTATTATGTCACCACCAAAATCATAGCTAGGTGTTTTTTTAAATTTTTTTACGGAGGTATTATGCATAGTTTTTGAAGTTGTTGCATATTCAACTCTTACTTCGAAAATAGCGAAAACAAAATTCTCCTGTTAAAAGTATTTGGGTCAATTTCCCCTATATGATAATGCGCCTCAGATTGAGGAACAGAGCTATGAATAGAAATGAAAAAAAACCTGTGTGCAATGATATTGGAAATGAGGCTATTTTTAGTAATTGACTGAGATATTTTGAAGAGCATGAGCCACTACAATGAAAAATGTAAACTTTTTTCAGTTATCGAATGTTTTAAAGAATTGAATTTTCATAGAATTTAAATGTGAAAAAAGGGCATTTTAACTTGCTTACGCAGCATCACCGGGGGCATTTCGGGGATTTTCAATTTGTGAAAAAATTATTCACACTTCGTACCCAAACATTTATACACATGTGCGGAAATGTTCCAGCTTCGAAACGAGCCATCATACATTTCCAAGTTTACGATCTGAACTGAAGAATTGAAGAAAAGGCTACTACTGTTAACTACCTGAAATTCGCATATTGACTTGTTCCTGCTTTGTTTTATTAAAAAGAATGACTAATGTAGATACAAATATCTTGTCTTAGGGAGGGCTAAATCATATTTTCTGATTTCAACAAATATTTCTCTGAAACTGACATTATCAAGATGCTCGATTTCTTGATTGACAACTTATTTGTTACTTTTTTCAACAACAAAAATGTCATCCCCATAGGATCCAACTATGCTCCTTTTCTTGCTGCATTGTTCCTTTATTTATACGAGGCTGACTTCATACAGGAGCTTCTTAAGAAGAATGAAAAGAAGCTAGCATTATCCTGTAACTTGACGTTCCGCTATAAAGATCATGTCATCTCACTAAATAATTTAAAGTTTAGTAACTATGTTGAACGAATCTATCCCATTGAACTACACCACATCCAGTTAAGTCTGCCTCAAATCTTGACCTACATTGAGAAATTGATAATGAGGATAGGTTAAGAATAACACTTTACGACAAAAGAGTATCGTAAACTTTATATTTCTATGTGGCAAAAGTTCCAGCAGCGCCTGCATATGGAGTATACAGCTCTCAGTTGATACCATATTTCAGAGCTTGCATTTCCTTGATAGAGGGTTGCTACTTATAAGGCAGCCATTAAACCAAAAAATCCAAGTAGTGAAAAGTAAAATCACAACAATACTGAACTCCGAGGAAAATTCAAAAAGGAAGGTCCCCAATCAAATGGCAAAATCAAAAGTTCAAACACATCAAACGAATGGATAACAAATGTCACATTCCTGACTTGGTACAGGCATTTTCTTAAGTAGGAAATGGTGGATTGAACCTGGTTTTATAGCTACCTAAACCTATGACAGTCGCATCAAATTCCATTATTTTGACAACGATGCGTGAACAAAACAAACAGACACAATAGGTAAAAGTGAAGTTTAAATTCATTCCTTCGAAAGCTTTATGGACGCCATTAAGAGTTGGTTGAACGCTATGAAATATCTGTTTCACAGATGACGACGGATACGTTCCAATTGTAACCACAGTCCCATCTTCTTTTTCTAGAATGTGACCTACCGAATTAAACTCATCACCGTTTTGTTTTTTTACTTAACGAGCAACACGACGGGTGCCAAATGTAGAACAGGATCTTCTTTTCCTTCCGGAGCACCTGAGCTGACCGAGGTTTCGGCGGGGTTCGTGTTGCTCAGTCATTTCTGTGTTGTGTTTTTAGTACTGTTGTTTGACTTTTGATCGTTTTTCGTTTTTTCCAATGACATTGTCAGTTTGTTTTCGACTTAGTTTGAATATCTCTAATTATAATCTTTCGCCTCTCTTGACCAAATTTGTGGACCTGAATTTGGCAATTGTTTAAATGTTTCGTAGATGAATTAATTTAGTAAACCTGATCTGATTAAGAAAATCAAGGTTTGTTTACTTTTATGAATACCTTATTATCTCAAATTCTTCCACAGCAACATAGTTTATTAATACTACCCACAGTTAAATGCGTTGAAAATATATTTTTTGTATGGTACGAAGCATAGGTATTTATTCACACAAGCACATTTCATAAAAATGATGTCAAAAAATTTGGTTTTTCAGTTTGTATTTGCCTGCCCCAGTTAAAGTTGACATGACCAAAATTATCTTTAAAAAGGAAATGAAGTTTTATTAAGCATTACATTTTATCAAACAAACTCTTAAATGAATATATATAGATATAAGAAGATGTGGTATGAGTGCCAATGAGACAACTCTCCATCCAAGTAACAATTTATAAAAGTAAACCTTTATAGGTCAAGGTACGGCCTTCAACACGGAGCATTGGCTCACACCAAACAGCAAGCTATAAAGGGCCCCAAAAATTACTAGTGTAAAACCATTCAAACGGGAAAACCAACGGTCTAATCTATATGAAAACGAGAAACGAGAAACACGTATGAACTACATAAACAGACGACAACTTCTGTACATCAGATTCCTGACTGAGGACAGGTGCAAACATTTGCAGGGGGATGACACGTTTTAATGGTACCAAACCTTCTCCCTTTTCTGAAACAATAGTATAACATCACAACATACAAAGAGTTTTCGATAAAATCAGAAAGTTTGCAAACATTTTTAGTTCATATGTTTTCAAAGACAACAAAATTAATGCTTTCACAGGGTCTATTATTGTGATTGAAAGTTCTCATAAGTTTTGTCATCAATAACATGACCTGTGAATATATACAGGAAGAAATTTATTATACTTACACATTGTTTTTAGAATTGATAACTTATACGACATAAGTAGAGGCATTTCCTCGAATAACCGAAACAACCTTTTTCTTTACGAAATGAACAAAAACGTACAGATTTATTAAAAAAGTCATTCATAAGAGGATCGCACAAGAAGAATAAGAATATTTGGAAAAATCAGATTTAATGTCTTCAATATGGGTCAATATCCATAATGCGCCCATAAGTACTAATCTTGTAAAGAACTGAATTTTTAAATAATTAAACTGTGTGAAAATAGCGCATTTTTACTTGGTCAAGCGGCATCACATGGGGCCTATCTGGGTTTCCATTTCCGGGGTAATTTGCGTAGATACGAATCACACTTCGTACCTCGAAAAGTTAACTATGTGTGGAAATGTCGCAGCTTCGAAACCCCAGGATTTTGTTGTGGGTTCGCGTTGCGCATTCTTTAGTTTTCCTATGTTTAGTTTTGTATAATGGTGTGTGTCTTTTGGTATTTTCCTTTTTTCATGGCGTTGTCATATATAATATAATATAGATAAATTTAGAAATTATTTAGAAACTAAGGTTCCGACTCCCTCAGTCAATGACAACTTTACTTGAATTTGGTTATTTCTTAGATCGCCTTTGGTCAGGTAGTTTCCGTGTTTAGGAGTTATACATCATTTGTTTTCAAAATGTTGTGTTTGGGCATTCCTGATGATGGAAAATCAATAAAAGTTCCTCGGAAGCGAGAAGTTGATAGTGTTTATTTCATTAAGTTAAAGATGTATTGATAGAAAATGTATCCTCATTTACGAGTTTTTGCTCTAAAGAGTACTTGATGAAGGTTTAAAAAAATACATATTTATCCCACTGCAATCGATATGATATGCTCATTCTGTATCATACCTCAAAATTTGTCGGTACCAATGCCAGTAGGCTTTAAATCTCATTCACTTTTAGGATTATTGCAACATATTTTATTTGATAAACATCCAGTCTTCACCTTAGGAGCGACGAAGGATATTCAATGAATACATTTTGGCTTTATGAAATTTTTTAGATCAACATTGCATTTATTTATGTTAAATACAGCAGGTCAGAAAGATACAATATGAGAAACAATACTAAAGTTTTTCATATCTCTTTTGTCATAACTAATTGGTGTATTTTCGTCAATTGTATGTGCTGCTCACATTGATTCACAATAACACTTAAAACTAAAATATGATGTTTTAAATTCAATGAGACATTGACATTCAATAACCTGCATTGTTTGCAATTAACGACATGTGTTGGTTATTAAATGAAGTCAAAACAGTCATTAAGACATCCACATTCGCGGTCTGCTTGGTCATTTCTGCAGTAACTACAAACACAAAACATAGACCATGGACAGATACATAAAAACATAATCAACTTTTTTTTATTTTCGGCACCTTCTGCAAAATAAGGAAAAGGAAGTAGCAAGAGGACCGATAAAAACATACACACATATATTGTTATTACGAAGGGAAGCATGAGACAGAGGATCAAAAATAGTATTAATTGCCTGAAAATCAATCGCCAACAATAACTGAGACTGTTATCGTACAGTTGTTTATACTTGGTGCACATCAATACACCTGTTAGTATCAAAATCTTTTCAATTGCAGCTGTTTCCAAATGATCTAAAAGAAAAGAATGTGAGAAGTAATTATTCAAAGATATTTGTTATACAGGACAACATTTGTATGTAGATAGTCTCCATTGTAATTTTTAAAATGAAGAGAATATCGTCAAGTTGACAGAATGATGATGATAATGGATAGCTGCTTAAAACCAAGCGGCAAATTAGATGCATATTCATGACGAAAACATGAATGGTAATATCAATTCATTGTACTAGACCGACACGCTGAGCCGGATTTTTTAACTAGCTAGTTCAGACGGCAACAGTCCGCGGGAAGACGTGTCACCCTCCTACATAGACACATTATTCTAACTCAGAGCTTACCAGTCTTTGCTCTTACTCCTCAAATTGACAAGACTTAGTATTTTTAGTATTAACATTTTACCTCAAATTCGTGGTGTTTAAATGCAAAGATCACAATTTGCTGTTTTGTTGTTGATAGATTTGGTTGGTATCAGAACAAAATCCTTAATATAACTGATTATATAGGGTAGTATGCTGTTGAACAGATATTCTCGTATATTCGTCTTCTATAATAGACAAAAACGGGATCAAAACAACCAGAATCGTAAGAATTCCAAAAAAGATAAGAACAGGTTTCAGCTATACATGATTGACATAAGCAAAGATCAATAGTCGAATCCAGAAACAAATTCAAAGAGCATTTACCAATGACTGAATTGTCAAATTGATATAAGTGATTCCTCCGCTAAACATCTCTTGAATATTTATCTAATTACGCGTGTTCCAATATAAGTGCAACCGCCATACAAAGAACAGACATATTATATAAAACCAAACTTTTGGTGGGGTTCATGTTGATCAGTCTTCAGTTTTTCAATGCTGTTTTTGGTTTTGTATTTGGTTTTTTGCCATGGCATTGTCAGTTAACTCGTTTTAGATTTACGACTTTGAATATCCCTCTAATACAGTTCGCCTCTATTCAATAAAATAAGGTTATAAAACAGACAATAATGTGCTTAAATTATAAGCAATTAGGTATAGTTCTTCTTCACATCAGGTTGTCTTATCAGCTGAAGCTTAAGGCAATAAAGATAAATCTCGGATATTCTTGACACAAAATCAGTAAATGCACAGCAAAAAAACAAAATGAAAAGCAAAGCAAAAAGCATATATGTTACATGTACCGATTACTTATGCCGCAGATTCAATATAATGCAAGATACGATTGCTAAGTTGAATATAACAAACAAATGAAATTAGACGCTTTTGTTGTATGATTTTAGCAACTTACAGCTTATGTCAAACGTTGCCTTTTCTGTGTTATGACTGACTGTTGCTACAACTTCGTTGTTCTGATTCTGTAAAATATATGTAGGGCGATTTCCAATTGCATTCACTTGAGTTGCTTGTTCCCAATATAATTTATTTTTTGAAACTGTTGGTATAGGTCTCAAAATAACAAAAACAAAAAACTACTGCAAATTTTATTATATAGTAGAGAGAAATACTATTACTACAAAAGAGATGATTCTGTTTTCTTGCTTATTCGATTTTTGAGGTTCCTTGGGTTTCCTTAATAGACCACCATGATGACACATATATCAAAAAAGAAACTCTTTGGTAGATAGATGTTTTATATATCCAAACGAATAATGTATGAAATATGTGCGATTGTTTTAAATGCTCTTAAAAAAAACATATACCAAACATTACATTTGCATTGTATTCCACAATTGAGAAAAAATAGTCATCTTGTTTTTAAAAAGAAAAAAAAAAAACAGCAAAAGTCGATCTGTTATGTTGATCCTTCATCATAAGTTTAAAACTTTAAACGGTATATTTAGACACAGTTTAAAAAAAAACTTCATTATGGATTCCGTTTTCTGTAAGGTAAATCAATGGCAAATGGTGGTTTTACTATTATAACCTGCGCTTTTAGTTCTCAAATTACATGAAAGACTTACCATTATTGAAGTTTCGGAAGAATAATATTTGAAGTAAAATAACACTTGCAAATTGCCGCCACAAATATCATATGGCGAGTTTAAATCAAACATCCTATACAAAACGAAAACAAAGAATAAAATCAGTCAATCGATACAAGATACATTAAGTTATTAATACAATTTAATCATTTATTTATTAAATTCATTTATTGTATTACTTGTCAATTCTGAGCTAGCTTAATTTTTACACATTCTATCATTAATTATATTCATTTAAAATTATACAAACAATGTCTACAATTTACACAAAGCCGTTAGGTTTCGCGCTAAATGTAAGCACGAGTTTCTTGCTTTTAAATTCAAATAGACATAAAAAGACAAATCAATGTACCATATTGTTAGTTGTTGAAAAATCATCAAGGAGTTTGGACGGAAAAACCCTCCCATCCCTCCCTTTAAACATATTTCTGCTGTTTCTCAATTTATTTTACAGGTTGCAGTTTTCATTAATATTTTGGACATTCTATCCATGTACATGATAAGAAGATCATCAAAAATTGTCATGGCAGAACTTGCTTGGATTTAATTGATTATTGAGATGGCGGATTTATCGGATTTCTCTGCTTTGGTTGACCCAGCAGAGACAATTGTTATACACTGACTGGTACACCCGTATTACACAATTACACAATTTCACAATTTCTTTTCACACATCAACTATATACAATAATAAAAAAACCACAAAAATAACACAATGCAAACATGCGTTTCATGTTTAACGATAAAAATAAGTAAAATATTACATCGAACCGCAAAACCTGTCAATTTCATCTGAAAGTGAAAAGCGAAGCCCAGTCAATAAATAACGAGTTACTTAGTACGGAAAAATGTGAAAAAGAGTATAACAAAAAAAAAACTGAACTCCATGGTAAATTAAGAAAGGAGAAGTCAATAAAAATTGACAAAATCAAACGTTATCAATCAACGGAACGAGTGAAAAACAACTGTCATATTCCTGACTTAGTATAGACATTTTCCGAAGAAAATGGTGGGTCAAACCTAGTTTTATAGCAAGCTAAACCTCCCACTTAATATGCTGGACTTTTTGATCGACAATATATTTGTTGAGTTTGGAGGATTGATATTTCAACAGACAGTCGGTATTCCAATGGGTACTTATTGTGCATCCAACATTCATGTATTTACTGGCCGACTTGTTTTTGTACTCTTATGATGCAGAATTCATTCAGAAACCTCTAAAAGAAAAAAAAAAGCACCTTGCGAAATTCTTTAATCTTACCTTCAGATATATTGATGATGTCCTATCACTGAATAACCCATATTTCAGTCAATACTTGCATCTCATATATCCCAGTGAACTTGAAATTAAGGATACTACTGATACTAGAAGGACTGCTTCATACCTTGATCTTTTCCTCAATATTGACACAGATGGACGACTTCAGACAAAAATCTATGCCCCGTCGTATGGTGTTTACATATCTCAATTGATACGTTATGCTCGTGCATGTTCACACTATACGGACTTCATATACAGGAGTATGCTCCTTACGCAGAAACTGCTCCAACAGAGTTATGAGGAGGAAAGATTAAAAATGACACTCTGTTAATTTTATGGACACCATCACAAATTGGTTGATCTATACGATGTGTCGGTGTTTAAAGTAACTAACGACATTTTTACCACGTGTTAGATTGTGGCTTACCATCTACATCGTCTGGTCTGCTTAGTACCTAACGTGACCTATTCCAGAATATGACTGTTTTGCCGAGTTTGAATTCACATTGCTATACGACATGTCTCGGTATTTATATATCCAACATCCATGTATTTAGTTATGATGTTTCTTTTGTAAGTCCGGTTGGATGTTTTGTTATGTCTTATGTTCGCTGTTGGAGACGACGTAGTTCGGTATTTATATATCCCGCTTTCGGGCATTTTATTGTTATTTTCTTATACGTGTGGGTTCGGTGGGTCATTTTGAGCTGAGTTATTGTCTGTTTATTTCGTTTGTGGTTTGAATTCTGTATTTTCGGTACATTTCACATATGTCTTATTTTTCAGTATAATCGAGTTACTCGTGGTTCGTCTACAGGTTTTTGTTTTATGTTGTATGTTTTCATGTGTGTTTACTGTTTGGTCTTACATGATCTTGCCTTATATTACAGTTATTTTATTTTTATTTTTATTTTCTATATGTATGTAAAAGTTAAGATTAAAAATCAGCTACTTCATTTGTATGATTTTAAGTTTAAAACAACTATATGCACAGGATTTATTTGTTTATACACAGTTTTGATTTAGAAGAAAAACCAACATAATTAGAAAATACAAATAATAACACTATTACAAACACAATTCGTTTGTGGTATCCTGGTGTGCTGTCCTAAATTCATGGGAGGTGTCCGTTGTTATTCTGCGGTTTACATGTCGTAATGTACTATTATATTATTCATTAATGTATTTCTCTGTGCTGAGTGTTCTTGTGTTTGTTTCTACTGTATTCCTGTCACGTAGTGTTGTCATTTTAGCTGTATTTTTAACATTGCCATATAAACGGGAGGTTTGCTAGCCATTAAACCAGGTTCAACCCACCATTTTTTCTAAAAATGTCCTGTACAAAGTCGGGGATATGGCAGTTATTATCATACAGTCCGTTTCTATGTATGTTGGCTTTTGCTTTTGTTGTAGTTCAGTGTTTCTGTTGTTCCGCTGTTTTCCTCTTACAGTTGATATGTTTCCCTCGATTTTATTTGTTAGCCAAAATTGTGTAAACATGCATCACAACTGACTAAAACACTTAAACAAACATACAAATAAATTTACAAAGACGCCCACACAAAAAGTGTTTTATGTGATAGTAAATTTGACAATTTGACAAAGACACCAAAAATGTTGTTTTGTAGTTGATAGTGTTTTGCCAAAGATTTCGAGAAAAAAAGTTTAGGTAGTTGATAGTTTATACCGTATAAAGCACATACCTTCTCTATAAAGTATAAATTAAGTAAAACATAAATACAAGGGTAAATAAAATGGAAACAACACTGTATAAAAAACCCTCTTCGTCCGAATCACTCATCAGGACCCACCTATACCCGGAACGGCTAAAGTCAAAAACCCGATAGCGGGATGCATAAACACCGAGTCATGTCAAAAGTCATAAGGCCAAAAGAAACATAGCACGAAGACAAATAAAGGGAAAATTGTAAAGTGAATAAAAAAATGTACAAATTCAGCATCTAGAATCTATATCTCAAGACGTTCTTGTGTTAGTAGACACTGAGTATTTATCTATAAGTTCTTGGTACTTTCCCATGTACTTATTGAGAAAAAAGATGAGACGTTCTTTGACAAAACCCAGGATCATTATTTTTTTTAACAGACACCGGTGACGTTTTACAAAGTCTGAGTAGCAGCTGCAAGCCTTTGAATATCGTATGAGTTGAGAAATGTATACTCCATTCGTAGGTGAAGTTGGGATATTGCTGCTAAGGTGAGTAAAATTTATAATTTTGAAATTGAAACGTCTCGTTCGTCATAGGTTCTTGTACTTAGAGGGTAGTGTCTAGAAATGAGGTAGAGGAAGCTGTATCTATGGTTTCTGTAATCTCTAGTTCAGGAGGATATCTATTATTGGGACCCAATCAGAAAAGTTTGGATTACTAATGGAAAGAACAGCGTCACTACACCTGATTGTTAAATTAAATGATCTAGCTTCTTCGATTTTCTTTTTTTTTGCAAGTGTCTGGAGTAACTCGGACTCAAGAAAATAAGAAAATGTCGACCAGAAGTGGTACACTGTTGGTTTCCATAGGAATGCCGACAACCTGCTGGAACATTCTGCGTCCAAATTCAACAAATGTGTTGTCAATGAGAAACTCTAGCATACTGAACACTTGTTCTTTGGTGTATCATGTTTTATTTTCGGACTCGAAAACAACTAGTTTGTAGCGCATGGTACCATGGTTATGGACAAAAGCATTGTGGATTATTTTTTAAGAAGAGTTTTTAATTTTTCATGTGGTATGTAGGTGTAAAAGGGGGAGGGGTTGTAGTGAAATGTATGATGGCTTAATGAAGCAATCTTTTAGTATACAGAAGTGCGTGATCGTATTTGTCGGGTTTTGAGATATTTCTGGTCGTTAGAAAAGCAAAATTTTTGGATATTTTTTTTTATAGTTTAACATTAGCGTTGGTGCAGAATTATAGAATATATTGCAATACTTATAAAGATTCAGGAAATTAATTTTTCGCACGTTGTCGGTCTCTGTGAATGAATTTATTCAATTATACTGATGTTGAACATTACTATGAACACCAATTGAGCCTCTTTTTTTTCATAGCAGACTTGTTCTTGTATTGCTATGAATCATAGTTCATGGCCAAACTCAGTACAGACCCGTTTAGATTTCATTTAATTCCTAAATTAGACACCACTTATCGTTATCTTGTTGATATTTCTCTTTAAACAATCGAGAAATCTCTAAATATACTGCCAATGTTTACCCAAAGGATCGTACTTTAAATAAATCAAATTTAAACCTACAATCTGTCAATATCTATATTTTGGCATTGCAAAAGATCATGTTTTTGTTTGACTGTTGATGTCGTCTTTAAACTAAATCCATTGGATGTAGGTTGTGTACTGAATGATATTTTAGTCTAGATACATGTTTCTTTTTATTAGTTACTATTGGCTTGGAACTAGCTGTGCTTTGTATCGATCTAATAAGATAAGTACTTTTCAACAGAATTTTTTATAGTTTTTTCTAATGGTGTACTGTTACTCCACTGTCTCAGGTCAGTGAATTTTGCCAGCAAACATGTTTAAACCCGCCACATTTTTTATGCGCCTGTCCCAAGTCAGGAGCCTGTAATCTAATGGTTATCGTTTGTTGTTGTATGTCATTATTGCTTTTCCTTTATTGTTTTGTACATAAATCAGACCGTTAGTTTTCTCGTTTGAATTGTTTTACATTTGTCATTTCGGGGCCTTTTACAGCTTACTATACGTCAAGGGTTTTGTTCATTGTTGAATACCGTACGGTGATCTGTAGTTGTTAACTTTTACGTCATTTGGTATCTGGTGGAGAGTTGTCTCATTGACAATCGTACCATGTCTTCTTATTTCTATACTTACTCTCAAAACATCTTTGCTTAAAATATAAGAAAATTATATGACTTGGGTATGTTTAGATAACGGAAAAAAAAATGATAATTTCAAGTTACCCTTTTCTCACACTTCCCATCTCAAACCCAGCCGGACTAAACACTTTCAGAATATTTCTAACACAATTCTGACTTTCAAGCTCTCCTTCAATCAGTAGCATTCCGTTGTCAGCTTTTAAACAAATAAACTTATCTGTAGCTAGTTCATTATTACCTGAAACAAGGTCCCGGTATATATTATGTTTATTCAATACTTTGGTAGAGAAATAAATGCAAATTAAAAACAACCCAGATGATAAATTAATTCATCGTACCGCAATATAAACACGTGTCACAAATTTTTTAAAAGAGTAAGAGCAATAATCCTATACAAAGAGAAGAACATGTGTGTATTTCTGTCTAACTTATATCAAGTGGAAACACAGTCAACACCGATCTTTCATTAAAAAACACAGTGAAGGCACTAAGGCCAATATTTGACTAAAATTCTAATAACAAAGCTTAAAGTATTAACACAAAATCCAAAATTAACCCTAGATTACTGTACATGCGAATAATCATGGAAACATAAAATGATACATAAAAATACCAAAATAGTATAAAAAAATATCTAGCTATAAGGTAACTTCAAAAAGGAAGATGTGCATAAAAACTGTCAAATCAAACGTTATACTTTATTTACCATTAGAACGAATGAAAGACAACTGTCATATACTTGACTTGGTACAGGCCTTTTCCATGGAAAATGGTGATTAAACCTAGTTTCATAGTTGGCTTAAAATCCCAGTTGTGTGACAGTTGTTTATAGTTCCGTTATATTGACAAATTTGGTGAGAAACCCAAACAGACATAATTGGTTAATGTGGCATTCATTAGGATCCAGCAGCCAAACTTTGGAAAAATTTCTTCATTTCCCATCTTGTACATTTTGTAATTAAACCTTTTGATATATTTTCCAATGTCAAAGTATGAATGCACCAAAATTTCAACTTTATATTGGAGAAGTTATGTACAATAATTCTGTTATTTTGTTGTGACTGATTATTCGACACAGGTAATACGGATAAAACAACAGCATGGACATTCAATATAATGACGAAATCGTGACGTAACATTTTAAATTTTCTTAAATTCATTGATACTTCTTTATTCTTTGCACTATCCTATATTATCGGACGAATTTGATATAATTCACGACAACTTCATTTCTATGGGTCAAAACGAGCTTTAATGGCCCCTCTTCATTTTCACAAAGACATATTTAAATGCTAATGTTGATACAAAAAAGCAATAGCCTACTGAGTAGAGTAAAAAGTTCACCTATCATCACTCATAGTCGGTGTGCTGTTTTATATATTCTAGCTGTGTCGATTGACTTAACATTACTACAAACATATGACAATCTAACATACTGGGCTTACTTTCTGTAACAATTATTGCCTCTTCTCCATCGGTGCCATCATAATCTATTATATATGTTCCTAGAATAAGTGGAATATATCAAATTAATTATATTTTAACATTGGTAAATATCAATGAGAAAGTAACCAAACAACACTACAAATCAAATAAAAGCTTAAGGTATGACGGTTAAGATATAATTCTGAACAAAAGACACTATCGTATCAAAGACCTGTTTTCGTATTAAATGGAATAGTACTTTGAAAGTTCTTTTTTATTTTTTGCTGCAACTCATATAATGTTTTCTTCAATAATGCAAAAAGGTAAATATCACTAATATACTTTCTCGAAGTATAAGATAAACACTTACACCTTGAAAACATCTATGTACATTCGGATATACAGTTTTTCAACATGTTGTATGCACGTATTCCAATGGGCACCAATTACACCTCGTTAAAAACAAAACACTTGTTCCTGTGTTGTTATGAATATTTCGAGTAGTCAATAATTCTCTAAAGCTTAACAAACCGCCATAATTTGGGAACTTATGGACCTACCCTTACATACATTAGATATAAATAGCAATAACTGTCTTTTCCTAGCTTAGGTATTTCAGATCCACACGAGAAACTCTTTACAAAACTTTACGACAAAACAGACGATGTTCCTTTCCTTATTGTTAATGTTACTTTTTTTGGACGGTGATGTTCATTTTATTTGTTGTATTTTTTCGTATATATCTCAACTTGTTCGGTTTTCTTGTGTCTGTAGTAACATTATAAATTTCGATGAACAATATCTATGTATTACAGTTTAAGTGATTAAGTCAGGAATTAGTCACCACAAATTACTGAAATTAAGAAGACAGTTCAAATCTCGAAAATCGATTAAGAACCGACAAATCAAGGCAAAAAAACCCCTGAGGAAATCACAACAAAAGGAGCGAGACCGGGTGCGTCGACAGTGTATGCAACTACAGCTATGAATACATCACCCACAAAAAGAATCCACATTCAGTCAAATGGCACAATACAGAATAGGACACAATCGATAGAATTACAGATCAGACGACTATACGACTATACGGGTATCTACAATAGAAGCGGAAGATACTCAATTGATAAACAAAGTCATAAGTCGAAGACAAATTGACATGACACAAAACGAATAACGACCAAAAGACAAACATCAGTCTTCGAAATACAACATAGAAAACTGAAGAGTAAGCAACACGAACCCTACAAAAAACTGGGAGCTGCTCCGGTAGGTTGAGTCCGTAATTTAGATCAGTTCGGCTTAAATTTTTCGATCATTTACACAAATTGTTTTGAATTGGTTATCAAAAACTGATTGGTAGTTTTTTTGTCACCGATAGTATTAACCGCCCAGCATTCACCAATTTTGTGTTGACATGAAATATCATTGATACATTTATTTTCTGTAAATTTACTGATTAAAAAAAACTTTTAAAGTATTCGAAATAGTTAGGTTTGTCTAAGCTTCGACATAGGTACTCTTAGCCGTAGTTGACTTTTTTAGGAATTAATGGGTTCAATACTCTTCAACTTCGTATTTGATTTGGCTTTCCAAATGTTATAATTCGAGCGCCATTTAATATTTTTATACAGAAGAAAAGCGTCTGGGGTAGCACATTTTAATGATATAGGTATGTTTGATGAGTTTATTATATTAAACCTGTCATAAACTCTTTGAATATTGTTTGTTATCGGTTCTTACTTTGGTTGTGTTACTTACGAATTAAAACATAACTAATTATGCATTGCAATACAGTTATAACACTTACGATCCTCCATCATCACGGCTGTCGATACCTATAATTTGACATTGTACACGGGCAACTTTTGTTAGGCAGTTTGAGACGTCCTTATGAATCCATTGTACGTTTCCTAATTAGTATTTGTACATGTTATCTGGATTGTGGATATATAGATTTAGAAAAATATCAGCCCGCGAGCCAGAATATGAAGCTAAATGTCGAGTGAGCGTAGCGAACGAGCCATTTAGCTTCATATTCTGTCGAGCGGGCTGATATTTATCAATATCTATACAATCCACATTCAGATAACATTTTTATCATCTTTAAAAACAATGTTTTTGATTAAAATTTCCTTTTTTAATAATTTCGCGGGAATATGCAGGGTAAAATATTCCCATTAACTACATGAAGAAAAATGTTTTTTGTACATGATAATGCATATATGGATGTATAATATTTGAAGATGATACAAAAAAGAAGAAACAAAGCTTAATGATAGAACGAAAGATCGAAATATTTCTTATCACCAGACGAAGAAAATTTCTACTCGCTGACTGCTGAACAACTTTTAAGCATACGCTGCATAAAAAAAAATCCAGAAATATCGTATCAAAATGTTGTTTGTATCAAGTCTGAGAGTACATAAAGATTTAGTAGTCGTCATTCGTTAAGGAGAAGTTAATTTGAGAAAGACAGGTATTGGTAAAATGTCCTTTTTGTAAGTAACACCTCGACATCTCGCACCTTGTACCCGCCATTTGTACGTGAGAGGATATGGAAGCCGAAGGTAGGTGTTATTTTTGTACCGAGTTCCCCACCAAATTGCATTGGGACGGTATTTGGTTCAAGTTTTTGGGTACCATTTCCTATAAGTGCTTTGCCTAATGTTATCATTGAGGAAAACATATTTTCCGCAGGTATTTTCTTTCCTATTAAAGAAACAATAACAGAACCAGATCACCTGAATTTTTGAAATGTTTTTCAATATTGCTTCGCTGCATACTGTTGTTGGTCCATGTACATTGATATAAATGTATCATTCTTTTGGTAACTTTGAGTTAAATGATAAGATACATCATGTTTATGATTCTTGGAGAAATGTATATGCTTTCAGTGTATTCAACTAGGTAGCTCAGGGGTCAGAGCATCTCTTTATGAGAAGGTCTTAGGTTCAAATCCTAACTTAGTTACACTGAAACAGTAAATACTATAAATGGAATCTTAACATGTTTAACATGTATAAATCATTTAATATTTTGCCTACTTGAGTCTATCTCATGTGAATGATCAATGTACATATAGCCAATATAATTATGATTTTCACCAGTTTTAACATTGTAACTTGCAACTGATATTTTATATCAATATATGTAGAAAACCTGACAAATTATACATGCTAATTGATAATCATAAACAACCATTAATGCACCCCCCCCCCCCAAAAAAAAAATCCTTACCTTTCATTTTATAATTGATTATACATGTACATGTTATTTGGTTGTGGATATATAGATATAGAAAAATATCAGCCCGCGAGCCAGAATATGAAGCTAAATGTCGAGTGAGGTGAGCGTATGTGTTTTGATCATTGTTAAAGATGACTGACACGTAAATTTGCTTTCATCTCAAGTTGATAATCTTTTTATTGGTGTTTTTATATTGCATCTTCTTATTTTTTTGTTATTTGCAGACTGGTTTCAGGTTACATGAAGTAAATTGAAGCTTTAAACAATACTAGTAATAATAGGTTGATATGCAATATGATTTTTTTTGGTACATTTTGTAATTTGCTCTCTTTGCAAATACATTAAATCATAATTGCTTAAAGCATAAATATTTTTACACATTTTCAGTATAAGACTATTTTTATTTTCTTTACACTTGTAGTAAGATACTGATACAGTGTGAGTCTTATTATTTGTAGAGCATCTGGAGAAATTCATATTATTTTAGCAATTGATTTGATACATGAAATACATTTGTTGGTCAGATATTTATTGCGTTTAGTTTTAAAAAGTTGTTAAAACATACCGAGTAATGAAAATATTGGACAATCCCACAACTAATAAATGAATTGAATGATTATTATATTTTAGAAATCACTATCACTGTCAATTACGCAGAGACTCTTTCTTTTGTTCTTTTTGTTGTCATCTGAGTGTTGTTGATTTGACGATGTCCCATTATTAAAGGTAAAATTGAAATTTCCACCATGGAATGTTGCATTTGTGAAAAGACCACTCATTGCGGGATGTAAGTCGAAAAAGTAAAATTTCCTTTGTAAATTGACTGTTTACTGTCGTTACTGACAGTTGATTGAGTCTGTGTTGATGTTATTGTCTCTAATACTGGTGAGGTATTTTCTTTATTATCTGATTTGGTAACTGTAGGATGATCTAATTCTCTTGTTGAAGATAGCATTATTGATGTTTTTTTCTGTTGTTCCAAGCTTGTTTTGGAGTACGACAGCAAACTGTTAACATTTTATGACCTGTTCTTTGTACAATTTCTGTGTCTTGCACTCCATTGTCTTTTTGTTTTTGGATTGAACCCTTCCTTGCACTATGACCAGTGAGTCTTTTATCGTTATTGGGTAGTGCTTCCGTGGCCATATCTTTTATTATTTTAGCAATTGATTTAGTTCCAAGTCTTAGACTTTTGTACCAAAGAATTTTTTATTCAAAGTTATCATCTTGAAACGTTGAAGCCTGAATATAAAAAGGGGAATCATCTTTTTTTTTCATGGTTTCTGGTCTTTTTTGTCGAAAAAGTTTATATTGAAACACAGGACATCTGGTGCGGTTAATTTTGTTTTCTACTGCGATTGGTACTGATTTTCATAGATTTGTTATATTTTCGCCCTGTCTTGTTTTTGTTTGCCTTTCACGACAATACTGGAGGTATTCGTCTCCATTTGTGTCAACTTTAGTGATATATCACCCCTAACATAAATTGTAATGTTCAGTAACTCCTCTTAAACCAAAATGGTAATTGCTATTAATATATACTGTGTTTATAAGAGAGCGAGGGCTATTTGACCCCATAACTTTTTTCATATAAAATTTGTTGAGATCGTCATCTGTAAAGGGTCTGCAGCATTGGGTTTATTACCAAGACCAAGTGATTTTAAGTTTTTAAATTTTGCGCTCAGAGTCTGACGACTTTTGTGGAACTCATCATCAGTCATAATATTGCATTCATACGCATTATCCTTTAAATATCGGCTAATGCTCTGCTGTATTGACTTGAGAGATGATGGTTCATATTCAATAGTACCATTTGTTTGTTTTTCCTTCGTGGCGCTAAGAAAGAAAAAACTAAGATATCTGTCCAACTGGTGTGGTGGTATTTGTTCAATGTTTCTTTTTTCCTCATGTTTTGATTTTAAGAACAATTGTAAAATTTTCAAATCAGACTTTGTTTTCTTGGAAGTATTTTTATTAAGTTGCTCTTAAAGGAAGGAGTCTATATCAGCATCTGTTACATCTCTGAAACGGTCACTCTCTGATGCTTTTGCTAAGGATGTTGTGCCAAAAGATGCAGTTTGATCACTGTCAGTTTTAGTGTTCTTGTCTTCTTTTGCATTTTCCTTTTGTTTTGCATTTGTGGCACTTTGTTTTTGAATTTTGTGAACATTTACAGGGAGATATTGATATCTAGCGCTTGAATTTGGATTTGAGAAGTCCCAGTAACTGCATGAAGGGCTGTCCATTTCACTTAATAATGTATTTTTGTCTGAATTGTCTCCCGATTCCCATGATTCACTCTCAGTATCAGTGGCCATTCTGTGTTTTTGTTTTGTTTTGTTTTGTTTCAGCAGACGAAATAAGTGCTTTAGACTTGTCTGGAAAAGGGTGTTTGAGCTCTGATATAGATCTTTTCATAATTTAATGTAAAATGTTTTAGCTTTACTGTTATTAAACACAAGTGCATTTAAACAATTTAGATTTAATTTGTTATTGGTTTTACTGTGAATAATTGGTTTATACTGTAAATGTAGTTTTAATCGTTAAATTTTCCACCCCCGCTTTGTTGACAACTGTTTCGGTAGACTGATCTCAATGTAGGTCATATCAGGAGTTCATGTAAGGTCACAGAGTTCAATTGAAAAAAAAGTAGTCCCGGCAGACGTTATTAAGAATCCGGTGGGACACGTTTTTACTATTGCTTATTCAAGCATAAAAGGTAAATGTTGCAACATAAAAAAAGCACAATGAAAAAATTGGTATGCAAGTGTAATTTATTTGGTCAAGTCATCTTTGTAAGTGACATGATACCATTACAATGATGGAATAAATGTTGGGAGAATTTGTTGATATTTCCTCCTCAAGTTGATAATGTCTCCTCAGAGCACGCGCTATCGTGATACGAGTTTTACACATACGTTGAGGAAACAGATATAGCTGTAGGGAAGGATGATAATATGGAATATCTGTTTCACAGATGACGACGGATATGTTCCAATTGTCGTAACTACAATCTCGTCCCCTTCCCCTGAATGTGACTTACATTAACAACACAACGTGTGCCACGTGTGTAGCAGGATCTGCTTACCCTTCCGGATCACCTGAGATCACCCCCAGTTTTTGGTGGTGTTCATGTTGCTCAGTCTTTGGTTTGCTATGTTGTATTGTGTACTATTGTTTGTCTGTTTGTCTTTTTCTTTTTGAGCCATGGCGTTGTCAGTTTATTTTCGACTTATGAGTTTGGATGTCCCTTTGGTATCCTTTGTCTCTCTTTTATTCTTGGAAACACAATTTATTTAGTTGTTATACTTGAAAATCCTTAGCATTTCGAAAAAGTCAAAGTTTTGTAAACAGTTGATATATGACTATGACCATATCAATGATTATTCATATCAAGACAGAGGTGCTAAATACTGGGTTGGTGAGACCCTAGGGAAAGAAACCTCCACCATGGACCCAGTGGTTTTAAATAATTCTAAAGCAAAGTGCAGGAAAACATTTTCCTAAGCTTTTAATAAAATGCAAATTGTCCTCCTGTATCACATTTGATGACTAAAATAAATACTAAACTAATTCTTATGGACTTGTTACAAGCTTTATACGCGTTATCGGCGATTAGTTGTTCTTGATATTTTTCAATATGGACATAACACCAAGACCCTCGCTCCTCAAGTTTTTGCCTTTCACCTTAATTTGTATCGTTTTATTGGATAAGTGCGATCTCAAAATTGGTAAACAACTGCTATTTCAAAATTTACTAATTATTAACAGTATTGCCTAGTGATTGTAACCTTTTAATCTTTATTGACTATTTTACATGTACAAGTTTTGATGTCATAAAAATTTTAAACAAATCAGCCGTTATTTTAGGTATGTAGTTCTGTTAGATACCGCAATATTAAAATGAACGTAATTTTGTCGGCAATACCTAATATTCAAAAGTAGGATCATGCCAAAACAAGTAAAAATACATCTATTAGCATGAAGTGACGTACCTTGAATCTGACTGTGTTCTGAGGCTACTGCAAATTAAATTAAAAAATAATATATCTTTACAAACAAAAAATGTTTCTTTCAAGTACTAATCAATTTATAAATATTTTCTTTCAAATCCAGAAAAACTAGAGAACACAAGTACGGCGAGCAAAAACGTTGAAATGACCCTAGTTTATAACTACTAGGGTATTTTTTTTAAAAATGATTCAGATTATATAGTATACAGTCTCGGGATGATATAGACCTTGAAAATAGAATACAAAATACTTTCCGTTTTATTACATTAGATTGATAGTTGTATTATAGTTTGATTTGTTGTTAGGTTGTTGTTTCATTGACAAACAATCGATATTACTTTCATTCGTATAAAAGTTAATTTTACGGTTCAATTTGGTCATATGGCTTCACGCGTATTCAGGTTTGCCTACACCCGTAGCTTTTGAACTTCACGCGTATTCAGGTTTGCCTACACCCGTAGCTTTTGAACTTCACGCGTATTCAGGTTTTCCTACACCCGAAGCTTTTGAACTTCACGCGTATTCAGGTTTGCCTACACCCGTAGCTTTTGAACTTCACGCGTATTCAGGTTTGCCTACACCCGTAGCTTTTGAACTAATGCTTTTGAGTGTTCGCGATTAAAGTAATTCAAGAAAAGCGCTTCGGACGCGCCAACTTAATAAAATTTTATTTTCATTGAAAGATTAAAGTCCAAATAATTACATGATAAATATATCAAACTAATAGTTAAATGTTTACATAAAATTAAATCTAGCAGACGATAGACTATGGCGTCTTTGAATTTGTTTTGTGAAGCAGCAATAAACAAAGGCTGACTTCATACAGGATAAATAACTCAAAGTTTGAAAAGTATGTTAAACACATCTGTCCAATTGAACTATAAATGAAGGCTACAATAGATACAATTAAGTCTGCATCATATCTTGATTTACATTTAGAAATTGACAATAAAATAAAAGGGTCGGTTAAGAGCAAAACTTTTTGACAAAAGAGATGATTTCAGAGTCCCAAATGTGAACTAACTTTCATTTCTATGTAGCAGTATATACCTTCCAGTGATACGATATTCCAGAGCTTACATTTCCTAATTTTCTTGTTAAAGGATTGCTTCTTACAAGGAAGTCATAAAACCAAGAGATGCTCGACAATTATAAAGACGCCATCACGAGTTATATGTAGTTGACCGTTATGGGACATCTGTTTCACCAATGAAGACAAATTTGTTCCGATTATCGTAACCACCATCCCATTCTCTTTTCCTCGAATGTGACCTACCGAAATATACTTATCACCAGCTTTGTTCTTATATCAGCAACACGACGGTTGTCACATGTTGAGCTGGATCTGCTTACCACTCCAGAGCACCTGAGATCAACCTCAGTTGTTGATGGGGTTTATGCTGCTAAGTCTTAAGTTTTCTATGTTGTGTTTTGAAAAGTGTTGTTTGTCTTTTGGTCCTTTTTCGTTTTCTGCCATGGCAATTTTTGATCGCTTTCGACATATGAGTTTGTTCTGGATTCTTCTTCCCCGCTTCTACTGTATACTTGAGAAGTTCATTGCGAATAAATATGAATTTCGGTTACGGTTGTGGACGCATTAGAAAATTCTTCTATTTTGTGTATTTTCTTTTTCTTGACATATCGACAAGTTTACGAAAAATGAACATAAAATATTCTGAAGTGAAATATCATCTTTTTGGTAAAATTATGAATCATAAGAGTTGGAGCCCGAAATAATTATATTCCTTGTAACAAATTTTGCACTGATTAATATCCTTAAATGCTTAGTGAAATAAAAAGAAATAGAGTGCAGGCTCTTATTTCCGAATATATACCAAACTTGGTGTATTAATTGTTTTCTAATGGTCTTATACCCTAGATTCATTTCGTCCTATAAGCTTACAGTTTTGTTTGATGCTTATTTTATTCAACCTTTGAACATGCTGAATTATCTCTGGAGTTTTCTTCAGACTGGTCGACATCCCAATTGATCGTATACGTACCCACTTAGCTGTAACTATAGATAATGCATGTGTAGATACAGGTTGGCTTATTTATTTGTATCGACTTATTAAAGGAAAGGGTTTTACATATCAACATAACTCGCTTCATGTCAAGTGCACAACCATCTCAAATTAGAGTCACTTAGACGCAAACATGTATCTTTTCGAAACATGGGTTATGAAAAACAAGTTTATAGTTAAAGTATACATTGCATCAAGGCCTATGAACATTTAATGTATTATGAAAAGAACAAAGAAGTAGATATATTGTGACTAAATCATCGCATATTTACAGGTTATTTCAGTGCTACAGACTTTAAGGCTTATTCAACTTTTATTTGATTCGTCTTCTGTTTTCATTCGAGTGCCACTGATGAGCATTATGATTATGTAGACGAAACAAGCGTCTAGCGTTCAACATATAAGCCTGGTGTCGTTGATGAATTTCTTTTAATATTTATTTTGAGTACTCCTTTGGAATGGAATTTTATTCTTGTCTTATAGTGAATGCTATAAAATTTTGGCTGATTTATTTTTTTATATTTTTTATATTTTGTTTTTCTTCATCTTATATAATAATCATATACATTCTTTTATGAAAGTTGGATCCACCACATGTATTACTATTATGACCTGACAGTGCCAATATTAATGTTATGTTAAAGGAAAAAAAAACAAAACAAAAACAAAAACTGATATTCCTTTACGATTAGCATGATATTAATCGAAAATTATTATTGACACAACATACATGTGCTCAGAAAAACATACTGTGGCATTTGTTTTCATTATTTTCTCTACAAATGTAGAAAGTATACATCATTTAACATATATATATTTCGAACCGTCAATTTGTGATGTGCATCAAGTTACGTTACCCCCCCCCTATTTTTATGATCAACATTTCTTGTATCATAAAGTGAATTGTTTAAATGGTTCCCATTTCTCACTATTTTCTCACCTATTGCAGGCGAACAGTGAAAGCTGGATGATAATTTTTCAATAATGTTATCATTTTTTAACATCTTAAGTACTATCTTCACACAATCTAACAGTGAGCTATATCTACAAGAATAGATATAGAACGACATGAGGACATTGAAAGCATTTCCCGCTATATCTATAATATACCAAGAGAATGTTTTATTTTGATATCAGATGCTCATAACTGCAATCTGATTCTCTATTATATTTTTAGTGGTAACCTCTCACAATGTAACATACCCAAAAAAAATTTTGTATTGTCTCTTTTGTTTCATTGTAAAAACAGGTGTGTTTCTTTAAGTTTACATTTATATAACAGGTCATCTGTGCTAACAGTACTGTGCAGAATTTTGTAATGAAAAATATCAGTTTATTTCTTAAAGTACACCCAAAAGTGTTCACATACAGAAAATCCCAGCGATCTTAGATTTTTTTCCCATTCATTATGTGACTATATGATACCGTGTTTATTCAGACTTCTAGGGAACATTTGAAGGTACGCGGTAATTTAACGTGTAGTTATTTATTATTGCTTAAAGTATTATTACGCAATAGTAAATTTAAGAAAAGATATTGAACATTTTTTACCTGATAAAACTTAGAAAAAACTGCACCATACTTGTGCGTTTACATCTTGCCGCTTTTTCGAACTTTCTATAAAAAATCTGAAACTTGCGACAATTAAATGATTGTTTAAATAAACTACCATGTTCGTGTACACATTGATTTATACTCACTTAAGTTCTAGAAAAGCACTCGGGATTGTTGTCATCCCAAAATGTTATCCTGATTATCGCTTAGGACGTGTCAACGTACGGATTTATTTGTATCCGTTTTATACCGGGTGAAACAGGATTTTTTGTTATAAATGGGTATGTATTTGAGCTTAAAACTGTTACCAATAATGTGCAAAAAGGGGAAAATGAACTCAATTTCATAAATTATGCAGAAGACTATGTGAAACCCTTCATTACCTTATATACTATTTTAGAAATGCACTTTACGACAAAAGAGACGATGTTTCATTCCCTATTGTTAATTTTCCTTTTTAGACGGCGATGTTCCTTTGGTTTCATCCTACGGTGTTTATATATACCAACTCGTTCGTTATGCCCGTGTGTGTAGTCATGTCATAGATTTTAACGAACGTAATCAATGCATCACTGGTAAATTATTAAGTCAGGGATTTCGTTACCAAAAATCACATTAAAACAATTTTATAATTTTGATTAGTAAATTTGACTGTACCTGTAGAAAACTTTTTTAAAACGGTATTTCACATCCTAAATTTTTTCAGTGTATGTTTACTTGTTTTTTTGTTTATATGTCTTTATGATCGAGTTAAGCCAATTCAATTGATATTTTATAGTGTGTCTTTTTATGTTGTAATGTTACACTACTGTTTCACGTTAGGGTGAAGGTTGGCGCCTGTTAAAACGTTTTATTTTTCTGCATTTGTATGTGCCTGTCCTAAGTCATGAGCCTGTTGTTCAGTGGTTGTCGTTTGTTGGTGTGTTCATTTGTGTTTCTCGTTTTTATATAGATTAGACCGTTGGTTTTTCTGTTTGAATTGTTTTACACTAGTCATTGTGGGGCCCTTTATAGCTTGCTGTTCGGTGTGAGCCAAGGCTCCGTGCAAGGCTCCGTGTTGAAGGCCGTACTTTGACCTATAATTGTTTACTTTTTATACATTGTGACTTGGATGGAGAGTTGTCTCATTTGCACTCATACCACATCTTCTTATTTATATTATAAATTAAGTGTCGTTATCGGTGACATGACAATTTTATGTACAGTCATAAAGACTAGAAACTCAGCATAGCCGAATTGAACTTTTTTTTTGTGTGAAAGTTCTAACAGTGACTTTAGATGAAGATCAGCAATAAAAGTAATGTTTCTTTGCTTTTGTTTATATTTGATTTAAAAAATAACCCACAATCAAGTGACAAAATTTCTAGACCTTATTCTACAATATTAAATCTGACCTTCTTAATACTCATTACGTATCTATCCATTATTCAAAAGAAACAGCACTTGTTTTTCTTGTTTGTATTTCAGAAAAGTTCTCCGAGTGTTCATGTCTACGAGCAAACAGGGGAAAATGAACTTTTAGGTATAAACTATGATATTTTGCTGTCGATAAGACTGCATGTAATTTTGAACAGAAAATTGAAAAGATAAATACATTATTAAATACTTGGATTTACCAAGATCTTTCATACCTGAGGAAAATAACAGCCATAAAGTCTTGTGCATTGTTAATTCTCATTCAGTCATTAACAGTATTGCCAAATCCTTCTTTGACAATTTCAAGAAAATTGAAAATATTTTGTTAAGTTTCTATGAAATGGTCAATCCAATATAGTTAAAAGCAATGTTAAAATTGGATTATATGATACTGCCTCACATTGAATAATGTTTATGTTATGCACTGAAAATGACATAGATTCATAAATTATTAAACTCTTTTAATATTTTTCCTAGGAATTTTTTTCACTTAAGTTCTAGAAAAGCACTCGGGATACAAAATACAAAATATGTTGCAGATAAAATGTGGGTGATGAATAAGGTTAATATTAAAAAAATTTCATATCAAAATAACAAGATGTGATATGATTGCCAATGAGACGACACAACTCTTCACCAGAGACTAAATGACATAGAAGATAACAAGTATAGGTCAACGTACGACCTTTAACAATGAGCAAAAACCATACCGGCTAGTGAGCTATAAAGACCCCGAAATGACAAATGTAAAACAAACGAGAAAACTGACATACGATGTATGTACAAAACAATAAATTTGTTGAACCAGTTATTCATGTCCCTTTTGACAATGGATTAAGATAGCTGGTATGCTGATAGTGTCTGGTGATTATACATTCTGATGACACCTTTCTCTAACCTAAACATTAACCGATGATGATACATTTGAAATACATGTGTTAAAGAGATAAACTAAAAAAATATGTAAAAATCGTTATTTAAGAGCACTTGCTCCAATAAGGATTCTCCTTACAGTTTCAGCAATGTTGGCTTATTTGTAGATCTTGCCTTGCTGATCACTTTTCTAAATTGAATATTCTTTCTGTCTATCAAAGTTTTCAAAATAATCAGCAAAAATAAAAAAAAAATGTTAAAATTTTACATTTAAGGGCAATAACTCCTATATGAAGTCGTCTGACAGTTTTGACGTAAATGAACAGAAGGTAGATCTTAACATTCAAACATTTTTGCCCCTGTCAAATTGTCTCTATTGATAGAGGTTTTCAAGATAATAGACAAAACTTGCATTTTACCCCTATGTTCTATTTCTAACCATGTCCGTCATGTTTTTTACAGACGAAGTCATCGGACACATTTTAAATATATAAACCCTAATGATGGGTTTGATCAAGTTTGGTTAAATTTGAACCATAAGTTTCAGAAGAGAAGACTTTTGTAAGGTATAAACCAAAAACGCAAAACAATTGTAAAATTCGTCATAAAGAGCAATAACTCCAATAAGGAGTCTTTTCGATTTCAGTCATGTTTGACTTATTTGTAGATCTTGTCTGTCTGATCAATTTTCCTTAATGAAATGATCAGAAGGTAGATCTTAACATCTCGAACATTTTTTCTTCTCAGTTTTAAACCAAATTCAAGGAAACATGCTAGTGTCAATAGGTTTATGGGACCAGAAACGTTGATCGAATGTGTCGACAAACGGCAAAAATCTCTTTCAAATCAAAATCAGAATTTCTCTTCAGCAGACCTTTGTACATATTCAACATATAACTTACTTTTATTTAGTGTCTTCTTCTACCTACCGACAATACAAGCTGTGTGAATCAAAATAAAGTGTAGGCCTACCTATTCAACTTTATTTAAATATCCATACATTTTGGATATAGCTCTGCTGAAATCCAACAAAAGATATACTATTGATTTCTGTTTTAAACTACTTAATATTTTTTAATTAGGGCAGTAAAGCTGTATAAATTACATTTCTGTCAAATCTTTCCTTAATAAAAATGAAGATTAATCCTATATAAATTTCAATAATTAACTCGGGAAAAATGTCCTATGGCAGTACAGAAAAAATATAAGTTAATATAAAAGGCATTGGCTAGATATTTTATTTATGGATTCAACGAACGACTGAAATCACAACTACACACGTTAACAGGTATCAATAAAAAATTGGTTAACAGATACGATATGTATGTGTCTCCACTTACTACCCATATGTTTTAATGGTCTTATATCTTTAGATACGAGATATGTGTGTTATCTATACAGTACCGATTGTGTCCTTTTACAAATATTATACTTTTACTTAGTGTCTATTATCGTGACAGGTTATGTACGCATAGCAGTGATGCTTTAATACCACGTTGACGCACTCGAAGGATTTCATGCAAATCCTTCAGTTTTTGTTTATATCTTGATGTATTTATGAGATTTGAACATCGTTAAACCACTGTTGCATCTAATTTCTAGTAAAGAGTCGCGTCGTCAATTTCCTTAGAAAGGTAGATTGTTTACGTTTAAGAATTGTAGAATATGATTTAATTGTTCGTTGAAATTAAGCTTAAAAAGGGCCTACTGTTATCACAAGTATCCTTAGATTGGCACTCTCTATTAATTGTCTTTTTTGTTATTTTTTGTTTGTGCATAGTTCCGCTTTGATAAGACATCTCCATTTAACTGATTTGATGTTGTTCGGAAAATGCCTATTCCAAGTCAGAAATATGACAGTTGTTTTCCATTCGTTACGGTAATTGATAAAGTCTAACGTTTGATTTTGTCACTTTTTCTGCACTTCTCCTTTTATTAAAGCACTTTAAAGAAGTGTGACGAAAACTGTAAGTTTATTCAACATACATGTATTTGAAAAATCCAGGTTTCGACAAGCAGGAAAAAGGTGCCTTACATATCTAAAAAGTGTTTACATGTTACAGCTCATTACTGTCAAATCCAGATCAAACATATAGTTTATAGTTTTTGTTCAAATTTAGAATAAACATTCAAGGTGATAAACAAAATCTGAGGGAATCACACGAAATTAAACGGAAACAGACTTGTTATTATAAAACGGAAACATTACTGTGCGTCATTTTATATTAAATTTGTATGCTGTGTTTGTTGGAAATACAATAAGCGTTTGGTCATTCAGAAACAACATTGTATCTTTTTAAAAATGAACACATAATAACATCCTATTTCATTTGTTGGAAGGTATAGATACAACTATCATCCTTATGTTTACGTGAACTGACACAGTTGACTGACAGTGAAATGTACAATGTTTACTTTGAAAAAAAAATTATTGAATTTTTTGTAGTAATGACCCTTTTCCAGATTTTCAAAGAGAGTGGTCGAAATGTAACACCGGCGAAAACAATGAACTTTGTAAAATGAAAAATTATCATGTACTTGATTATGAAAAATATAAGGATAATTACATGTATCCCTTTCCCTTTCACAAATTAAGAAAGGACAATAAGATGCAATAAATAGTAATAGTATGCAAAGTGCATTACAATGAACATAAAATGAATATAGCTTAAATTCGTGGAACATTGGTGTGTTTTTGTTGTTTGTTTTTAATATATATATAAAAAGCTCATGAATGAACTTTGTATAATGAAAAAAATACCATTTTTCTTTCGAAAGAGCGCTACTATGTACCAAAGTGGTCATCACCTGGTACATTTTAATTAAGATTGTTTCGTGGTTAATAATGCACATGCAAGCAGCAACGCAGAAATGCAATAAAATAAAAGTATCTTAAAAGAATTCATTGCCGATTTTAGCGCGATGGTTCCAAGAATTGAAACCAACCTATTTTTTAAAACCATGTTCGAAACACAGAAAATAATTCAATAAACCTCATCTTTCCAGAGATAAAGCACCAAGCGCAAACCAATCTCAATTTAAAAAGTTACTGGAAAATGCCTGAAGATAATAAGAAGTCTTTGTGATGCATTTTTTTTTATTATAACAATGCATATACATGTATGTAGTATAGTATTCATAAACAGCATGATGGGATGATGGCATATCAACCAAGCAAATAACGAACACAGAACCTTTATCATTGAATTTGAAATTTTTGAGACGAATGACTTGTCCATAAACAATAATATTCACATGTATATATAGTAGAATTACCGCCGAATAATCATATAGACAACCTAGTACAAAAACAGTAAGAGAAATCACCAAAAATACTAGGCTTAGCTTACAATTTCGTTCGCCAGACGTTCGTATTGTCTACAAAAGACTCACCAGTGACACTCGAATAAAAAAAAAGTTAAAAGACCAAATCAAGTACGAAGATATAGAGCATTTAGGACTATAAAATCCGAAAAGATTTGACAAATACAGCTAAGGTAATCTATTCCTGTGGTAGAAATCCTTAGTTTTATGAACGATTTAAAGTTTTGTGAACATTTAATTTATATATAGATATGACCGTATCAATGAAATTTCATGTCAACAACACGGAAATGCTGACTACGAATCTAAGCCTTTTGATGCAGATAAGTTTTCGGTTTATTGTATTAGTATAATGTATTTAGTTCGCACGTGTGCTGTTTATTTTGCCGGGGGTTGACAGTTCACTGATGTCGACGGGTTGAATTGACCAAAACAACAACCGTTCCCTTTCAAACGGATCTTAAAAAGTAGAATGATTACGTCATAGACCGTTTTTTCGAAGCTAGACCGCAGTTGCGTGTAGTGATACATGTGCAATATAACATATTGCAGTTCTCAAAGCATCGTAATATCCACTCACTTAAGTGACAATGATATTAGCTTATTGGGCAAACTGTGAAAACGGGAACATTTTTGGACAGATCAGCTAATTTTATTGTATGAATAATACTATTATTATTCCTGTATGTCATAACTTCATAAAATGATTATATCTTTCATTGGGAGGGTCCCTTAAGAAGGATGTTCTCTTTTTCCTTTGTTAGGAACGGAATCATACACATTTAACATTACCTTTATTACCGCAAAAAAATTCGCGTATAATACAGTAGCGATTTTTTTTTATAATTATTTCTTTTGTTAGGATCTTAAGTGTTTAATTGTGTATCAAGTGAGAAATTCTGGCTTCTGGGGCACCTAGGTTAAGATCTGGAACTTTTAAAAGTACTTATAGTGTGAACATATATTTTTAGTACGCCTTGGCTAACTGCAAATGTTGCCTTTAACTCTAGAATTTAAGTTTCAAATTAAAAGAAAATCTTAGAAGTGTGCATATAGAACTTATGAAATAAATGGTTGTTGTATTCTTTTAATGAGATTTAATGGGTGATTAATCTGCAATACTATAGGTTTACATCCTGCAAGATATGGTTGAAAAACATAGATGTTTCAAAAAGCATAAAGATTCAAGTGTAAGTGTTGAATGGTGAAAAATTTCGAATAGATAAACTTCACCTTGAGTATTGGTAATATGACACAAATTTTAATGATTTCACTATAAGTATATCCAGATTTTTAATTAGAATGGCAAAACAGCTAGGTCAATTTTTGTTAAATTCTCACAAGTTTAAATACTTGCATGTCACATACGTTTTAATCTTTATGTTTCATATGTAATGAGTTGATATTAATTTAGAAATATAATATGTTATTGTATTTATATGTGAAATATAAAATAAAATATTGTATTTATATGTGAGTATTCTTTAATTTCCAAATTTCTTTGTACAGGCTGTAATTTTTATGAATGTTAATAAATTTTTTTATAATTTTATATTAATTGATTTTAATCACAAAGTTTGTTTATATATTTTATACAGCCTTAGCAAGGATCGCAGCAGCGGGGAAATAACTTTATTGTAAAAAATGCTACAGTTACGGGCAAATTCCAGATTGCCATGTTTTTTTTCAGCATCATTTGGTTAAGAACTACTGACATAGAGTTGTGACAATAATAAATTAACAAAATAAAAAGAGTATAACAAAAAACTCGAACTCCAAGGCAAATTCAAAAAGGGGAAGACTATAAAAACAGACAAAATCAAACGCTATTAATCAATGGAACAATTGATAAACAAATTATTATTTAAAAGTCAATGTGCTTGTATCCTTGTGTGCATCATTGAGTTATGCTTTGCTGTTAAAATCGTCTTTTTTAAAGATTGGTCTGTAAAATTGTTGCAAAAACAGGATTTTTTCATAAATGTGTTCTATTGTGCATTTCCATGCGACAAATTTTTCCCAAGACACATATGCTTTTCAGGTAAATTGGAATTAAGTTAAATCCCGTGCACCATGAATTGTACTAATTTAGTACACAATATTCAATCAAAAAGTATAGATTTTTCTACTTTTCAAGACAGTTTAAAAGAGGCGAACGATGCCAAAGGGGCATTCAAACTCATTCAAGTCGAAAATAAACTGACATCACCAAGGTTAAAAGATAAAATAACAAACGTACAAACAGACAAACAAAATTACACAAAACACAACATAGAAAACTAAAGACTGAGCAACACGAACCCCACCAAAAACAGGGGGTGAACTCAGGTGCTCCGGAAGAGTACGCAGATCCTGCTCCACATGTGGCGTATTCGTGATCTAAATTATTTGTAAGCTACATTTTCATTAGATAACAGTTAAACAAAGGAAAATAAGGTGAATTCCATGCATGTTACGGTAAATGCAATTACCTTGACTGAAATATCAAAACAGTTATGTGGCTACTTTATGAAGCTCTATTCCTGTATCATATTTCCACACCTTTAATAGACCGACTATTATGAATTTCATACATTTTAAATTTTATATCAATGCATTTTAAACATTGCTTAATAAAGGGGCATTAGCTATCAAAT